AATATCAATCAGTATGCATCAATCGGGGATAGCCTAGAAAATTCTCACTAGCAATACAGGCATAACTAGTCCGTTAATCCGTCATGCAGAAATCTATGCACTAAGATCTAACTTCCAGTCAACTAGCTCTTAACATTCATTAAAAATCTCGGTGGTTCTCATCAAGGAAAATATAGGCAAGGAAATCTAGGCTAGGTGTAAAGAAGGATTATTTTGGGGGTATGGCTTAAAGTGTTTAAGGGTTACCTGAAAATCTGGAGGATGCAGGACATTATGCAAAACCGCAAGAGAGAGTGAAGCTGTTGGTATCCACAGTTTTCAGTCACTTTCTTCTTGACATAGATTCATGGTCTTCTTCCTCAAGTTCTCTCCAAACTCCCCCAGAGTTAGATTTTTGTAAATATTTCAAAACAATAGCTCCTTAAACGAATAGTGGTTGCTCGTTGCTCCACAAATTTCGACAATCTAAGACTCATTAGGCTTTTTGTTTCCCTTTCTCTTTTCACGTTTTTTTTTTCTTTTTTTTTAGAGAAAGGGAACACCTTTAGATATAGAGTCTTAGAGAGCACGAATTTACCAGTTAATATCTGTCTTGTAAAGCTTTATTATGTTTCTGATACTCTTCCTTCTCAATTCCATTCAGTCTCTTTTGCGAGTGACTGAAAACTGCGTCGCTCCTCTTCTCTCCGACGTTTTTGCACATATCTGCTGATATAAACTAAAAAGAGAATGCATGAGGATTGAAAACAAAGGTTTTGGGTTTAGGGTATGGTACCAGATAAAGATAAACTGGTCATCTAGGACGACAAAGAGTGGTAAAAGTGATGGTAAAAGACGTCCTAGATGTGTATGTCGATGCCTGCCTAAAATCAATGATGAGAAAATTAGATATCAATATTAAGTCCAAATAAAATGAGCTAGTATATCCTGTTAGAAAGAATCTCCATGAATAGAAGTCCTCTGGTGGGAGTTTGTAGTGCAAGTACTCTAGCTACCGCCTAGTCTAGTGCTAACCACAAATGAGCTATCATGCATAGTGTAGAAGTGTGCAGGTCTAAATCATCATAGTTTTGCGTCAAACATTCCTGAAAAATACTTAATGTCGAATAGGTTATATATTAAAATTTAAAAAGTACTTGAAATTTAAAAGCAAAGGCAGGAAAATAATTAGTACGGATAGACATCCTCCCCCAGACTTAAATCACATTGTCCCCAGTGTGAAAAAGTTGGTGAAAAGATGGTGAATAAAAGCAAAATAAGATAAAATAAGATAAAAGAAAAGAAAATGATGATAGAACCGTAATGGTAGTGAAGTGCTGATCAATCACTCATCCTCCGAAGTGTCGTCTGCGAACTGGTGCTGCTCCTGTAAGAAGGTGACAACGCGTTCAAAGCGTCGTCCCTGTCTCTCAACTCTGCGCTCCAGATCGGAATGAGTGTGTGATGATGTGGATGATGAGGTGTGGCCGGTCGGAATAGATGGCTGAAAATGAGCACGGGCTGCAGCTGCATCACGCTTCGCCTTGGCCAAGTAGGGTCTCAGCTTAAGTGCATCGATGTACCAGATTACATCCTCTCTGATTCCAAGCATCTCGAGTGTATGATAATCAATGCAAGGCGTGGGTTTGATGTTCAGCTTCTTGAAACGCCTTGCATAGTCCACTCTCGGGTTCGTCTCCCTCCCAATGTATCGAATCTGTGGTGGCTCGGGAGGTGCTCGTGTTTCTCTTGAGTGCTGGAGTAATCTCATCACATAGCTTCTTCATCTCGGTCTGGCTTGGTTCAGCATGTACTCTCCTAGAGTAGCATCATCGGGAATGTCATCGGAGCTGCCACCAGTTTGACGGCTCCTTCGGGATCTGGTTTCATCCATTTTCTGCAAAATGAAATGATTCTTGGAAAAAGAGTGAATTTGGGTGCTAATTTTAACACATTAAGATCTGTTATACTAATACTAGTATAAAGAGATTAATTAAAATTATTAGCAAACAAAATTGATATTAAATCAGAGAAATCAAGTAGTTCATGACTAAATTCGGATTTTTGATGTTCTCAACATAGAAATCTTCTAAAAACCGGTTTTTATGAGCAATTTCCATGTGAATTCTAAAGATTACCCAATACTAATCACTAATCACACAAGACTAAATCAAATTCATCAATTTTGCTGTTCCAAATTCGATTTTTATGAAGCATGTAGAATCCAAATTTCAAAAATCTCAATTCCTCTTAAGCTAGGTGCTAAAATCGATTTTTAGATAACCTAAATGGATAATCTATCATCCTTAAGCTATTTCCACCATCAATAGACCAAGATTTTGGGTTTTTAAGGAAAACCCTAAGTTCAAAATCGAGTAAGAATGGTGAGTTTGAGGTTCATACCTTGC